CATTGGAAGATCAACGACTTGGCAACGATTAAGAAGTCATGGCTCTTTTAAGGGGAACGCACTTTTTTGAAGGATTTAAACATATAACACAGTCTTCAAACAGCCTCGTACCGTATACCCCTACTAACCCACAAGACTCTTCATAGGAATGCTCACCAATGCTGTTCAGCCATCTTCACCCAGCCCGTCCCTCAGAACACCGGTTTCCGCCACGAAGGCGGAGTGCCGCGCCTTTTGGTCCTGCCCCAAGGGTGGCACCGGCGCTGCCGGCGCGCCGGTCGCGCTGGTCGCGCTGCTGGCTGCCGGCGGGTCCGAGGGCGGCGCCGGGGGTGGCAGCCTCATTGGGAACGGCGATCCTGAACCCAAAAGGTCCTAAGAGAGCAACGACCTGCAGCTACGGTAGAATCAGCATCCAGATTTCAACCAGCCCTTGTGCTTTGTGGGGAGGGTTAAACTTGAATAGCTTTGATGGATCTTGCCATCTTGCAATGGTTTCCGGAACGATTCAATCTCAAAACTACTTGACTTGACTTAGATTGCTCTTGACATAGTTAACAAGGCTTCACCATTTCCCAGAAAAGGTTCTTCACCAGGTCAGCTTTGGTCTTACATACTTTCTCCAGACCGAAGGAGTCAGGCATCACCGGTTCCTAAGGGGGCAGAGTTTTCATGGAGTAAGTGAGTCACGCTAAGTTTGGGATCAAAAAGAACCAACAACATATCAATCTATAGCTTGGTTTCTTGGGAGTCCAAACCGGAAGAGGTATATGAAACCAAGATCTCAATTAATTACATGATTCAATGTGTGTCAACATCTTTCTTTGTTCAACATGTTTCAAGCAGACTCCGAGACTGGACCTTGTGCCTAAACACAGCAATCAAGATCTGCAGCTGACCACCGAACTCCTGAGTCTCGCTTTAAACCACTTTGCAATGTTTTGCACCATGGCAAATCATGCTAAGTACGTACTGCAATGGGCAACACACAAACACACACCCCTTTGTCTTCCAAGCTGCTCATGCTGGGCCATCTCCTCCTCCAAACACATCGGCCAAAAAGAGTGGCGAATTGGGCCGTCCGGCTTGCCGGGTTGCCGTTGGCTTCTTTGGCACACTCTGAAAGAAAACAAACCAACTCAGCCAAGTCAATGAATCAGAACTGAGAGGGATGGATCAAATGATTTCGAAAGGATCTAAATCCATACATAATCTTATTCTTCCGGTTCCCTTTGACTGGACTCCTCTCGTCATGCTGTCGCCAAGAGTGGTCTCCTGCATCTGCTGCGCTTTGGCCTTGGTCCTCCGCAGCTCCTCGGCACTGAGTGGCCTGGAATACTCGCTGCGTTCGAACAATTGTTGTCTTCCCTGCAAGTGGTCGTCTGCTCGTTCAAACCAAACCACTGAGTTGCTGGAGGACACACGTATTTTAATGATCTGAATCTGTTTTCATCGAATGTAGGCATGTTTGACCATCCAAACTGTTGGAAGCTGGCTCCCGTATGGCTTCCTTGAAACAATCTGAAAAATCCTCGATGCCCTGGCTGATAGGTATGCCTTTTGCTAAAAACATCATTAAACAGTGGTAGCGACTTAGTGTAGTACTCAGCCGATGGAGCTGTGTGATCAGTTCACTTCAGATGTGTGAGCAGCGTAAACATGCACATTTTGACAGTAGAGGGGTCACATACTTTTTGCAAATGTTTGCAGCATTCCCATCGGCAGGACTTGACGCAGCCAGTTCTCCGGATGCTTCGACCAAGCGGCAAGACTGGCTCATCCAGCATGCCCGCCAAACACTCCGCATGCAGCAAGGCCTCAGCTTCAAATGAACTGTGCGACCCTCGAGAGTGGCACCCCAGCCGACCCTAAACAACTCCACCATGCCCTGAGTAGAGTGACTTGCCATGCCCCAAAACCACCGTGCCGTGGCGTCTCACCCCTCAATGCAGCGGAACATGTGCATGCGGCCTCTCAGCCCCTCTGCGGTCGTCAGTGCCTCGAGTCTGTGGAAGCTTCAAGCTGAGCTCGTCCCAATCCGTCTCGTGGATCAATTGAGCGTGTTTCACACGACGGGACTCACGGGAACTCCTGTGAAGTTCGTAGTCGGTGCCTCTCTCATAATTCTTTACTCATTCAAGTGGGGGATTGGATGTAGGATGAAATGATAGGTCAGTCACTGTCAGTCTTGTTGTTCCAAACACTGGCTCTGGGACATGAGGAGTCCTTGAGTCCTTCTCTTGGGCCTTGAGGTCCAACACCAACACCACGCTGGGCATCCTGACGTGGCAAATCTGTGGATTCTCTGCTAAGATCCGCTGGGCCGTCACTGGAGCCTGTGCCTCGATCGAAATGCGAGGGTTTGCAAGCACAAGGCAAGCTCCCAAATGGAAGTCCTCAAATGAAGGATCATGGAATCATGGAGACACAAAGCTGCTGACTATACCAAGCTTTCTGAGGGTGTGTACCTTCCTATTCGAGCCAGAAATAGAAAGAACTAAGGAATGATTAAGCCACCAAGGATTAAGATGGATTAAGCCCAGCTTCTAACAGAAAGTTGTCAATCTGGCCAGCAGCATTCAGGGACACAGTTCATCAGGCATTCTCCCAGTTTGTTCTGACGCCAGAAATTGGGAGCCCGACGCTGAGTTTTTGAATATGACTCAGGATATAGAAGAGCTGTCCCATGTTCACGTTGGACACCTCACAGAGGCACATGCTCAAACGGTCCAAGGGCACCCTATGAATGGCTGGTGCTTTGAATCAATCGATCTTCGACTTACTTGTCGGATCTGCACAGCATAGCAGTCAGCATAGCATGCAAGGCATGCAGAAAACGCGAATTGGTGGGTTGGATGGTCGGATTGAATGTGTACATCTGAAACGTCGGAATACACTCATGGTCCCCAAGCTACTTTTGATGGAAGAATCCAAAATCCAAATGTCATGACTGTTGTCGGAGGTGAAGACTGGAACCCGTCTGTCAACATGTCACTACCGGATGTGTTTGCGGTTTCAGCTGTGACCCTCAAACATAGATAGTTCATGATAGTTCCATATACCCTTGCGGAGCTCATCCACCTGCACTCGTCCCACTTGAACAAGCAGGTGCGCTCCTGCTGCACCAAGTCCTTGGGCAACTCTCGCCCAGCCAAGGTATTCCTGGCCGCAGCGCACGGCGAGCGAAGCGACGTAGTTCTTGCGTCGCCCAAAGTGGAGGGATTGGGCAGGGGGTGGTGTGGGAGAAGCCGGATGCGTGGTTTTTTTTGAACGTCGTTTTTACTTAGTTTACTGTCTCAAAATGTACCTGTTTGAAGGAAAAAGGCTCCAAGGGATGGGAATATTCGTCGGTGGGATCAATGTCATTGTATCTGAGAACAGGAACACCCCGGACTCCATTGCCAAAACCATTTGATCTGCTTTTCGGGTGTCCACCATGTTGATGAGTTTTTTTGCATTTTTTTTTTACATGTATCAAAGGTAGATTGACCAACACCTTGGTTGGAGAGGCGCCAAAGCCGCAAGTCCACAACCAAGCTGGATGTCTTCGCATTTTACATGTTCAAGTCGCACAGGCACATTCGCACACGGACGAACAAACCGACCTGGATCGGCCTTGCTAGGTCTATTTCTGTAAACACCCAGGAAGCTGGAGTGAATCGTCCTTTGTTGTGCTCACGAGCGTCCTTTGTTGCGCCGTTTCACTATTTCGGGAAACACCGACCAGGCAAAGCCATTGAGTCCTGCAGCCCATCGTTCCGGCCCACCCGTGTTTCGCCCACGGATGCCCACCGTGTTTCGCCCATACTCTCCCCGAAGCGTCTGGCCCATGGCCACACCTCTGTGGCCAACTTGGATCCATGCCGTGCGCTGACGTTGGGTGGCTAAAGGCCGCCAGCGAAATGATTGGGAGGAGGATTAGTGGTACAAGCTCCATTTTTGGGGGGTCCGGTAGTGATTTGAGTATTGCTTTTCAGAATGCATTGATAGACTGACTGGTTATAGCACGTGCTGCAGTCAGGACAACAAGGAAATACAGGGAATTGTTCCGAGATGGCAAGGGTGATATCGGTATTTTTTGAGCCTTGGTGCTGCTGTGTCCTCTTGATTGATCCAATCTTGAGCCTGGCAAAATGCAAAACACATGTGTAAACCCTGCCTAGCTCACAGGGGAGCGCAACGGCAGCCAGCGGTGTTGTTTCGTTCCAATGTCTTGAACAACAGCAAATAGCAGCAATGTCCAGGATCCTGTCTTAGGCGCCGTTCTGGATGATGCTGAAACCAAAGAAAACACAACAGAACGGGCCACGGTCACTGCCCTCATCACTGAATCGATGACTGGAGGCCGACACCACTGGGCCAACTATGCAGTAAAGAATGATCCATAGCCGATAGCATGGCTCTCTCTATCTATGGCTGCCGGATCTTGAACAACAAACACGCACCCCCAAACCGACCTGGGTGCAATGCTTGCTTGGGACAAGAATGAACCAACTCCTGCGTTTGATGGGCACCCTGTGAAGTCAAACTCAAAAGCCAGAACAATGACACAGTTTTGAAATTGGGGTAGACCGACCTGAAGCCACCCCGTGTTTTATTGCCCACTAGGGATCACAGGGGCAGATGAAACCATTCCCCCTTTCGCGTTGGACCATGAATGAAAGGAACCTCCGGGCTGCCAGCCCTGCCCAGCATTGTTGCCCGGTCTTATCTGATGCTGCCCACAATGGAACATCCCGGGCAATTGTTTGTACTGTTGAAGGAAGAACTCTGGAGGCACCTGACATCAAATCAAACATAAGTATCCCTCTGGATATTGAATGATATTGAATATTCATAATATGGATAGACTGACTCACCCTTGTGATCTGTGCGATCTCCTAAATTGAAACACATATGTTATAAGTTATAAAGAACAAGTTTCTCTCGTTCCACTCTCAACCAGCCCAAATTGTTCCTTTTTGCCGGCACGGCGATGTTTCGCTGACGTTGGTTGGGCCAGTTCAGCCCACGGTAGCCAACCTGACATGGCAACACAACAGGTTTGCAGACTGCAACTGGAAAAAACGCGAAGCCCGCAAGGAAGCGGTGGGTTCGATGCGTTACAAGTTCTATCAAATATGAATTATGAGTTTAACCATAAGGGATGGTATTTTTGTTGACGTTCCTGGACCGGGATCTTGGACTATCGGGTATGCTTCGGAGGTATGCTTCGGGCTATGCTTCGCCTAAGTCGAACACCCCAACTCTAGATAAACTCGACAGGTAAACAAATACTACAACCATTTCTTCTTTCAAGGAGCTCATGTGACTGGCAGTGTGATCAAGTTGAACAGTGGATCATTCACAAAACCGGTTCTTTTCGTGTGGTTCTCGCCTCTCGTTCGCTGGCCTTAAGTAAAGCTCGGGTCAGCTTTCAGGTCAGCTGGAAAGCGTGTACAGCCTGTGAAGAGTGAGATATGGAATCACAGATGGAAAACCCGTTGTCAATTGGCCAAGCACATGGTTCCTTTGACCAACATCCTGCCGGGTTGGAAACCGAATGCATAGGCGCATGCATTTCACAACAGGATGAAGTGATTGAACACAGTAAACAAAAGATTGAGCTGAAAGGTCTTAAGAGTTGTCGGAAATATAGGACGCCACCGCCTTGAATAGGTCGCAGAAAAGGCTTAGTTTTGTTTTGATGGTCTGTTCGTGAGTGTGTTCTGTGCAACATGAATGTTGCCCATATGAACGGACAAACAAAACCACGCACTTGTGCGCTGCACACATCAGATTCTCAAAGTTGTTTCGAGACCTCTTCGGCGCAGCGGCTCAACATTCCAAGACAGGTAATCATCGAGCGCAATCATCCCCGCCCCACCCCCCAACAACCGTGTGATTTCTCCGCAGTCAACCGGGTTGGAAACAGGGGACTTTTGGGGGGAAGCTTGATAGAATGCGCACCTCTACGCGTTCGGTTTCCCACCTGGTGGCAGTTTTTTTGGCCTACAGCCAGTGCTTTTTTTCATGCTCTTCCATATCTACCAGAGGTTGCCTGGAGAGTATTGCTCGATTTCGGAAGCTAGGTCATTGAGTAGTCTCACGTCAGTTTCATAGGTATAATCTATTATCATACATTATATATAAGCCTGAGTACCTGTTGAAAAAAAGACATTGCCGAGTCAAAAGACTCCATCTCGGATACCCATGAATGCTAGTTTGTTTTTACTGCCTTGATTTTAATCACTACATTACTACAATATCCTTAAAACCATCTTGGGCAGCTTCTTGTTCGCAGGGAGCGAAGGTTCAACAAATTAAACCGGTCTTGCCAAGGGAAGAGGAAAGAGCCTTCGATTTGGATGAGGCAGGATTTAATAATCTTACATCATCAAATTGTATGAATCTATATCTCCGTAATCATAAATTTACATCCCAACTCAAAGTGGTTCACAGGTTCCCCATGGCCCACCACACAGTCCTGTTAAACAGAAGCAAAACGTCAAACATGTCAAAATGCAAGAAGGATTCTTGACAAACCAACTCCATTGGCCTTTCGAACCCAGGACTCCGTTGGCGACACCCGCTCGCCCACCCCCTCCACGTTTGCTCCGCGCCCACCGTGCCGCGGTGCCCGACCTCTTCGTCTTGATGGACTCCAGCAAGTTCTGTGGCGGCGCATGGTTGGACCTATGGCACTGTCCAGAAATCTCAGGCGACCAGGTAAAGAGAAAACGCAGGCGCGACCTGTGGCGCCGATGTTTCCACAAACATGGGTCATTCCGAACACTTTGCTCCACTCATCTGTGCGAAGTGAATAATAGAACTGAACATGAATTATTGACATGTCTGGCACAAGACTTCTGCGGGCCAGCGGGATTGAACAGGAGTCGAGTCTATTGAACAGGAGTATACTGTTGTCTCACTCAGACTTCGTGAGTTCTTCCAGAGGGATTGACAGAGTCTACATGGCGTTTTTGATGCAACCAAAATTGTTTTCATGGTATGGGTTGGACTAACAAACAAATTACGCCAGGTGGGTTTGGGGGACCATCGGCGAAATGATCTCAGAAGTTTTAACTTGTGTCGTCCATCAAATTGTAACATCAAGTCTCAGGTGCTGTTCAGGAATTCGTCCATCAACAGGATCAGCAGTAGCACTGGAGTTGTTCAAAAAGGTCTGGCCATGCAACAAACGATCATGCTCCGACCTGCAACAAACGATCATGCCCCTTTGTGTTGGGCATGTCGGAGCATGAGTACTTGAGGGGGAAGGTGTGAGAAAGTATCCGAAACCACATCAGGTGGAGCAGTTGAGCCAAGACTCTGCTTCCAACCACATCGACCCCCAACCCCATCCAGTTGAACAAACCAGAGTGGCTCCCCCTGACATTTTACACCTAAGCTTCTCATGGCTTTCCAAAGAAAAAGATCCGCAGCATCGATACACAACCAATCACACTAAGCCACGATAGAAGGAAGAACTCATCGGTTCCAGGGAAGAGTTGATCCCCCGTGAGTTGATCAATCACCGGAATCGCGAGCCCAAAGTCATGGCGTGTGGGAGGATCCTGCCCCGAAGCTAAAGCTAATTGAACTCAGGTAGTTGAAGCTACCTTTCGTGACTCAAGTGCGAGTAAGTGTAAATTGCTTGGAACTGACTCGCTGCAGTCACTGCATCTGGTTGATTGCAGAAAGTGGCTGCAAAACAAATCAACACTTCAGTGATCTTCAATTGTTGTCGAAGGAGCGCATTGCGCCGGGTAGATCAGTACTGTACCATGACATGGCTACTCGAAGTGCAGCATGACTCCGGACCCCAAAGTAGCCGCTAAAGCAGCATGCTTTGACCTTTGACCCTCCGAGAAAATCTGGTCTTGGAACCTTTGAATCGGTTTGGACATCCGTATATCATGGGCACATCCGCAGATCATCCTGGGATGCCCGTACCAGGAAGTCATTCGGCCCAGCCATTTGCCAGCCTGTCATGTCTGGATCACGTTCATCCACGTTCTGGATCACCCAATCGGCTTTTAAATTGGTTTTAAGAAAGTAACCCTGGGGTATACGGCATTATCGGTCAAAAAGATGTGTTGTGTTATGTGTCTGGGTTTGTTGTATATTGTATGGTTTGTGTGTTGACGCAACATCTTTCCCCAACAAATGCTTTGCACAATGAAGGTCTGTCAGCAGAATCGCCTGTGGCCTCATGCTTTGACCAGTGTCGAGCATGTGAAAGCCGAGGTAACGTTATGTATATATATATATATATGTAGACTCTTGATTGATAAAAACGCAGTTGGGGGATAAGCATTTTAAAGCCTTGCGACGTGCAGCTGCCAATGTCCTTGTAGGTGATCGTAAACATGCGGCCAGCCCGGTGGTTATGCATTACATCACCCCGAGAGTACAGGACCCTGAACTATACGTCATCACAGACCTCCTCACAACCCTTCGTCGCCTCTTCACCTATTACCCGGCTCTGGCCGAAACCTTCATCGTTCGTATTAGAGAATACCAAGGTACACTATGCGGCCCGGCCACAACCATTGCATTTTATCTCAAAAAATTCCACTGGGAGCTTACCAGCCAAGCTACACTTTTGGGACCGGGTGGCCTTCGACTTAATTTGATAACAAGCTCCACCAGACAAATCAAACAGCAGACCCGGATTGCATGGGATTGGTATTGTTTTACCTTAATTCAGCACCGCAAAGGGATTGCAAATGAACCATTCGATTCATGCACAGTACACAAAATTACACAAAAAATGACGGATAGACAACGACGAATTTTAGCTTTGACCATGTCAGCAGGCTGGCAATCCAATAGTGGCTTGGCCCTTTGGAGTGCTACACAATCAGCAAAATGTGATTGGTGTGAACAGATTGATACCCATACACACCAGTTACTCCACTGTCCAGCCTTCAATCACATTCGTGACCAACACCCTGAGGCAGTAACTTACATGCAAGATAACCTGCGCGTGCTGGTTTCCTTTGCCAACACACTCCCCACATATGGCACTTGTAAGACAATCCATGCACTTGCGAATCCACACAGCATATAATCAAGCAATACAATCCATCGAAGCAGGCACAGTTTTTTACACAGATGGCTCCTGTGATTCCCCGAATGACCCTTACGCGGCAAGAGCCGCCTGGGCGGTTGTCATTCGCCAACCACAGCCAGAAGACCCGACCACATACACACTGACAGTCACAGCCAATGGCCACTGCCCAGGTCTACAAACAATAAACAGAGCAGAATTGTTTGCTTTCCTGATAGCCACAGAGCAAATACGCTTCACCACAAATCATATGCCAGCTCAAATTGGTACAGATTCACAATTCGTTATCGGCATTGTCCAGGCCATTGAATCCCGTACACACTCATCCACACAAGCGAGCATATTGGGATCTCATTCGACAGTTGATACATTTGTGGGATCCCCAACAGATGTCGGCTTTTAAAATTGCGTCTCATCGCAAATATGAGGATGCGCGATGATTGGATGATTTGTGGAACATTAGGGGAAATGAATGTGCGGACGAGGCCGCGGTCCGATGCCGTAAAACCGACTTACCAGAGTTTGACCAATTGTGTCAAGAAGTAAAAACACACTATCTTAACCAGCACAAGATAACGACGAAGATCCTCACGTACCTGCATGACCTGGCATGCACTCGCATGAGCCTACTTGATGACAAAACGGCCAATCTTCCCGAGCTACACGTTTGTCGCATTCCAGCCATGACAATCCTTTTAAGAAACATCTAGATCATTTGGCAAACTGGAACGTGCAAGTTCCATTGTTCCCTCACTCACCTGAACCACATCGTGTCGTTTTTTGGTCCAGTACTTGGGGCCCGAATATTACACGCCTGGTGTGGCAATTTTGTAAAGAGATTAAATGGCCATGCCCGGACACGCCACGCCCGGCTGATGACCCGGGAATAACATGGACTGAGTTAACACTCGCTTTCATGTTTTGGTCAAGGCGACACTTGCCAATAAAAATTAGAGAAGGTAAAGTTTGGAATGCATACTCCCTGCAGGATGATAAAGTACGATTACTGCCACTTAAGAGCCGTTCGTTGCGAGTTGTGTCGGAATCGTGTCGATACATTGTTAAACATATCCAGACGTTCTCAGCCACTAAAATCATGCCGGTGTATAAGCAACAAGGGGCCTCCAGCCTTACACGCTTAGGATTTGCCATGGACCATCGCAGTGGCATCTCCCGCCGGCCCACCATCCCCCACGCGATAGCAGTCTACAAGTGGTTTGAGACCATTATGCTCACACTCCCTACTAATCCGCCTTTTTGCACAGATCTTGAAGTCCCTGAGATTCCCATTGCCATATGTGCCAGACTGGCCAGAGTGGCCCGAAATCGTACTTAGTAAACGTGAAACGTTTGCTCGGTCGGTGAGAAATCACATGGCACGTAAGAAGGACTTCGACTTAGTTCACCACCCGGGTGTCAATTAGATGCCAATTTGAGCCAGTGATGCGTGGGTCACATGATCCCGACCTTGCCGCTCCCCTTTCGTTCGTTCGTAGCCTCTCTTTGCCTCGTAGTTCTTTCTAGGCCAAGGTTTTTCACACGTTTCACATATGGACCAAGTCCCACCTGTACCCGTTCCACCCGTGAACAAGGGGCAGTCTGTGGGCGCGAAGGACCGCGAGTGCGTGCATCCAATTGAGGAGGCTTTATTGATCAAGAGTCTACATTAAGGGAAGCAAAAATGAAGAAATACTGACCTCCCACGCCACCGAACTCTCCGAATTCCACCACCTGCTCCGGGTCACCAGCGTCCAGGTAGCTTTGTGCGAGCCTTGGTGGTGAGTACCGTGCCTGCCTCCTACAGAAGAATGTACTGGAGCAAAGCCAAGGATGACAGGTCCCTTAGCATTATAATATGAGAATCCTCTTATACGATCTTATGCTATACCTCACAACTGTATGCATGTTCTCTCCGGAAAAAATGAGCCTAGTGCGAGGAACTGCTTGACTTTAAGATTTGCTTTGCACCTAGCGCATGCCGGTGAAATGGAGGCCTGCAATCCAAATCACTTCAAAGGGGTCTAGAGCTCAAGCAGTTTGACAAGAGGCCTAACTTCAAGATCTCCTGAACTCGTGTGATTTCGCTGAGAACTCCAACAGTGTTGGGATCAAAAAACATGAGACCGAGAAACAAGGTATCTTTCAAAACGAGAATACATGAACTAACAAACATAAATCCAACAACCAATCACTCGAAGCGCCTGTATGACACACACACACACACGCGCCTACCTGGATATCTGGCCCTGGCAAAACTCATCAGGCCTTCCAAATGTCAATGAGCTTCGTGATAGAGCGGCTGGGAATGCATCATCCACAAAAGAGAGGGAAGTAAACGCTGACCCATCAAACATGGAATCCTGGAAGGAGAGGGGCCACTCACTCCACTCCAAACTCCCAGCACCCCAGGCAGCGCCGATTGAGCGCCCGCGCGCCGTGTAGCACCTCGCTTGTGGTTCGATGCCTTCGCCTTTCATGAAAGAGAGTTTCAAAGAGAGAGCAGGAGCCATATAGGAGATGATCAAGTCCTGCAAAACTCGTGGAGATGTTCCCTCCCTCTAAGACACGTGCATCTTGGAAGGCGACCTTCCTCTACCAGTGGGGAACCACTTCCATGATTGGAGGGAGACTAGGAGTCTCGCAACACCTCTAATAGAAATCAACTTGAACTACACGACCGGCTGCACGAAGAGATGAATAGGGAACTGATCTTTGTTGGGATTGGCCGTTCGGAAGCGACAAATAATTGGCAAATGAGAGAAACCGTGGAGATCTACCAACTGGTCATCGTCACAGAATTAGAAACGAATAAGCCTCTGAATCAAGTTCTGGTACGACTCTCCGGTTGTTATTTTCTTCGAAGTCTATTTCCTACGTCCTCCTCCGTACGCGGCTATGCCGGCTATGCCAAGCCAAGTCCTCTGGCGCGTCCACCTCTGGCGGGCGTCGCCAAGTGTCCTCTGGGCCCTCGTGCCAAGCATCTGCTCCAGCCACTCTTCAGCTTTCTGCAGATCTCCGGCCTTCACGTGCGCCAACAGCACCTGGAAAACCGCTGTTGCCTTTTGAAGCCCGTTGAGGCGGGGAGGGCATCTGTGGCACTGTGTTGACCAAAAGCAAGATATAGGTTCTTGAGTCGTTTTGAATTTAATTCTGGGGTAAGATTCTTAGGCATTGCAAGTTGGGTCATTGGGTCTTGTCAGACTTAATTCTTCGACTAGGTCTGACGTCAGACTGTTTTTTTGGCAAATTGCTGCGCCTCAGAGTAGCTGACGCTCACTTGCTCCAAGGGGAAGTCGTTGTGGCGCCATCTGGGAAAAGGTTGCATGGGTCGGAGCGTGAAAAGCAGTGCGAAAGGATTGGCAACTCTTGCAGACCCGTGTATACCATCCAGTTGGATCGTTTGGTACCATATCCCCGCGATTGATCCACCAGGAGTGAAAGGCCATCTGATCTGTATCCTTTCAGGCGTCCTCGTTGAAACTGCATCTTTGCTCTGATGGACCCTCATGTTGCAAGCCTCTTTAGTATACAAAACACTTGCACACACACCACAGGCGTGCATTACAAACTGTACCACTGTGGCAAGTGAAAGAACAATGATAATGAGAAGCATGCTGAAAAGCATTATGATGTATTGGATGTGCTCGGCTGCGACACCATTCCTGGCAACATGACAAGCACATTTGAATGGCTAGCAGCTTCAGAATGCCATCACTGGATGAGAGGTTTAGTGTGTAATAATTATGTTTTACTACTTTGTGTTGCAATCCCATGCGCTAGATTAGTCGTAAAACACACGCAACATCAAACAGTGTGAGTCAATGTAGGCAAACCCTCCAGAACTTGCTGGCAAAGGGAGACACAGTCTGAACAAACTTTGACTATAAGTTTGTTTGTGATGAAAACCCTCCCCCACTTTCGACTGATGGTCAAACCAAAACGGATAAAAGTTCGTGATGCCATAGTGCATCATAGAGCATCATACCGCAGCATGAATGAAGCCGCGGCTGTTTTCTTCACATCAAATGTCTGGAACTTACTCAGTTCCTCCCCAAAAAACGCTAACATCCTCAGAAAACTGAGGGGCCATGCGGGGTCCCTTTTTGCCCGTCGGCACGCCGAGTTTCTCGGCACCGCCCCCACCTGGCCGAGCGCTGCATGTGGTCCACCCAGAACTCTGCGGCGTCCGCCAGGCCAGCGTGGGCCAAGGCGTTCAGCAGCATGTTGTAGGTATAGACCTCATGTCGAGTGTCAGTCGAATAGGCAAAAGGAGGACTCATCGATCATAATTACAGGTTGTCATAAGTTTACACTTCTCAAATGTAGTTGCCCTTTATTTTTGTGGGGAGGTATTTGATCAGATGCAGGAGGATGTTCATTTAGCATTTTGATCAGATGCCACATGCACATTGCAGATTCAGATTTGTTGGTACCCCCCACCTCCCCTTTTTTCAAAAGTGTGTTTTTTTGGGGGGGTACCATACATATATATATATATATTATATATATATCCTGTGGCGGCATCCACAATGTCGGGCACACCCTATGGCAACGAATCGCATTCAGATCATGAGAACCAATCACAGGGCCGTCGGGGCCAAGTCCGTCAGTTAGATCACCAGCATCAATCAGGCCACACATCTAGCAAAGCTTCACAAAGCTTCCTTCATTGGTTGAAACATGTTGAAACATGGCTGACAGAACTGGATGGCGGGGCGACTGAATCGGCACGAAATATCGTCAGTCTTCTCAACACATGATCATCCTCGAGGCTGACGAGCCTCGCATGGCCGATATCGTCAGCGATGCGCCGATGCGCGCCGCGCCGTCCGTCGCTTTTTGCACCAAGGCGCATCGGGTGTGAGGCGATTCCGCAGCAGGCGCCGCGCCAAGCGCTCGGCGAGGTCAGGCTGCTCGGCGGCGACGCAGGCCTGATGTGTGATGATGTGTGATGATGTGTGATGGATTGGGATTTGTCGCTGGCCTAAAAGACAAGGATTTTTATAATGACTTCTGACTTCTATGTTTAGAGCACCAAGTGTGTCGCCAAACCAGGTGTCGCAAACGGGGTTCTATTCATTGCATCTATAGATGGTTCGCGGTGGAGATCGAACAGCATTGGGAGATCGAACATTTCCAACACGGGTTGGGCCGGGCAGCTGAGGTTGTTCAGGTGAAGTACTTCCCGGTGACTGGCTGAAGTTGAAGAGCTGGGATGCCATAAATCATAAATATGATGCTCTGGAAAAGCTGCTGGGCAGTCAGCTCTTGATCGCGGCATTGAGATCCATAGAGTCCAGAAGGGTCCCAAGGTCCCTCATCAATTGAAAGACAAACTATAAGGATCTATAAGGCATTGTCTCCAACATCATTTAAGCCCATCAGGCCGGACCATCGCAGTGTTCTTCCCTGGAGCTGCTAGCTGGAACTACGTTGCCAGTGACGTTGCCAGTTTGAAGCACTAGGGATGCCTAGGGCCTACGCTGATGCAAACACAAACATACACAAACAATACACAACCCCTATGCTTGAGCAGACCGTCAAAGGCATCCCAACTTTTGCAGCTGTTTGAAGGGTTTGAGTTGTTATTTGGTTTCAGAAAAGAAGTGCCTCAGAACCCGCACTGCCACTCCCAACTTCAATTGGCCCCTCCACCAGCGGAACTCATTGCGTGCGCACACTGCCTTGATGACCTGCTTGTAGCAGTTCAGGTCTGGCTCAATACCCATCTGGCATGGCTCTTGAGAATGTGTGGTGGTGTAACACACTTGGTCAGCACGGAATCTCAACTGGTCATGTCTGCTAAGCTGAAAGCAGGCAGCTCTTGCCAGTGATCTCACAACACGAAGGCTACTGGTCACCTGGGATGTGACCCTCAGTGAAATTGCACAAACAGTACTCTGTGAGTGGATCAACTTATTATTAAGTTGGGGTGCTCTTCAAACACATCCAGTGACTCCTGCAAATGACTGTTCTGGGCACCCCCAAATGAATCTGTAATTGATCTGTTGGAACACTTGGTCACCTGCAACTGCTCTTGGCACTGGGATTCACATGCCAAGGGCTACCTGCTGCGATTGATTCCGCATGCATCGGACTCCAAACATCTGCGGCATCTGCGGCATCTTTAAGGGAATCCTATTTGTTTCAGCATCTTTTCATCTAAAGGGACCTGGACAGCAAACAAATAACATGCCGCATGCTAAGAATGCCTGCAGCTGGGCCAGGCAAGCACTCTTTCAAACAAAACCATCCCCAAACGCGGATCATCAAAATCCTGTCCGTTCAATCCCGTCAGCTCAAACGAGACTGCGCCATCCGCCGATCTCTTCGCGCCTCTTCGGCGTTGAGCAACCATGTGGTCGCACCAGTGGCATTGCCGACCTGGCATGGTCGCCCATGGTGGACCTGTGGAATCCATTTTGGCGGACATGCGGAGAAGACCGGAGGAACACCGGCGACCAAACAACAGATCACTGTCTATCCAACAGTCGGTGAAAACCCTCTAAACTTCACCCGTGGGGCTTGTTAAATGAACAAAAGAATGGTCTGTACTCGGACTAAGGATCGCTTGTGAGATCCCAATTGGGGAATGGACATCTTTACATTCTTAACATGTGGTGAGTTGAAAGAACATCAACAGGTCTGGTCTGCGGTCTGCTGTCGAATTCCGGTATACACTCATGGTATACCCACCCTCACGTCATACTTCTCAAGCTTCCCATGACCCATTCATTCCATCGGCTCCTGTCATGCCCGGACTCGTGGCCAACCCGAATCCAACGCGACCCACGGACGTCTGTGCGACCGTCTGTGCGGCCTTGGCAAAGGAGCTCAGAAGCGTCCCGATCGTCACCACGTCCTGAACGAGCCACGCTCTTTCACGGGAGCCGTTGGGAGCCACGCTCTGAAATCAGAGGGTCGATGCTTTTTGGAGCCACGCAGTTCATGGACATGGAAACAAAATATGTTTGTACAAAGTGTTAACTTCTATGGTTTCTTGAATTGGTGAACCACCTTGAATTGAAGTATTGTCTTGAATTTGGTGAAGCACCTTTCTCGGATTCTTGAACCTTTTCTGACCCCCTTTGGGTGCAGTGGCCAAAGCTGGTTAGCGTTCCGACAAACATACTGGCCATCGGCCGACAGAATTCTCCGACCGCTTCCCAACAGTCAATGTGTGACGTCCAACCCTGAACGCGCATTGCACTCTTGGGACTTCCTGAGAGTATGTTTGCTTCAGTGGAGAAAGGCACTTGTTACTAGAAGCGATGCACTTGTTACTGCACTTGTTACTACTAGCTTCTTAGCGAAACAAAAAAACATGGACGTCTTGCCAGATGAGTGAGAATGCCACGGACGGCGCTCTAAACAACTTGGATGCCAAGGCTGCCAAGGATCTGGGAAAATCTCCAGGTCTTGCATACCTCGGGTGTGCTTGCAAGAGAAAACACCCTCCCATCACTGCATGGCATGGTTGCTCAGAGCGGGCAGGTCGTCCAGACCCCAAAACATGAAGGTGCATGTTCCGAGTGTTTTGTGTCCATCTAATATCAAAATATTCAATCGAAGCAGTTGCTATTCACTATTCACAACCGATCCCTAACCCTGACCCTGATGGGGGACGAATGGCTTGGATTTCCGAGTCGAACCCCAATGACTTGGAAGTTTCGTAGATTTGGCATCACCACATGGCATAGGTGCCATCTTTACGGAATTGAAATGAAGGCGCTAGAACTTCCAACAAGCCTTGGGCAGTTTTCATCTGTCAAAGGCTTCAAGCTCCCAACTCCCTCATAGACAACCGAGAAGTGGGCTGGAAGGATGGCTTCCACCTCGATCTTCAATCAGTAAAATCATTCCAATGCCTCCAAAACCTCTGTGCTGCACCCCCTGTGCTACAACCTTGTAAACCATCCAAAGGTCCACATTCTTCTAGACAACAAAATCACCGTCAATTCCGCTTGCTTTCTGGCATGACTCACCCTGACTCCACATCATCAAGTGCATTTGCCCCTTGCCCCAACAAAGGTTCAAAATAGAGAAGTTCACATTAGCAGGTCACCATCCAAACCGTGCCCGGGGATAATTAAGATTCACCAACACCTGGGGCTATCTACTTATATACGTTAGGGCTTTGGGTCCAATGTTCCAGCACATCATCCCTGCACTATTTAAGCTGACTTCCCTCTTAACATAACATGACCCCAACCGCCCCAACGACCCCATCGTCCGGTCCCTCCAGTTCCGAGCGACGCAACAACACACCTTCAGCCCCCTGGGTGTCGCCATTGCTGGCGGCCGCAGACATGAGGATGTTGAAGCCTCACTTGTCTGTCTGGGGGCAGGTCGCTGGGCAGCTGGCAGCGTGAGGCAGGTGATGTTCTTGAAGGATGTCAAAAGGGTGATATACCACCATGGCGCCTGAGGCCTGATTAATGGTAACCATAAACCCGAGTCTTACAGTGGAAGAGACAAAGGCAGGGAGGGGCCTTGAACAAAGGACATGTTGCAAGATGTTGCAAGGATTGGGAAAAATGCACTCTAGACTCTAGACTCTAAAAAAATAACAAGCAAACAGAATAGCCTGCTAGAGCTGAGAAACATGAATTGTCCTAAATTGTCTACATAAAACCCAAAAAGTTCGTCCGCAAAACCTCACCGGACCTCATCGTCAACTGTCCAGCTGAGCGTCCGATGAGCTCGGGCCGATGGCCAGCATCCATCATCACCCGAAACCTGAGGGTCAAAGCAGAGTCGAAAACGGTCGATTGAATTGCAATTGAATGGATCGTTTTAATTGGACCACGAACCTGTTGAACTATGATGCTATGATATGCTATGTAACATAGAGACATCACAGGATTCCGGAAAACGATTCCACTGCCACTTGTGGTCTTCGGAGTGCTGCTGTTTCCAGGTGAATTGCAGTGGAATTCAGAAGATAAGATCATCCCAGCAAACAAAAGCGCAACTACACCCACTGTTTGTGGCAAAACTGAAACGCATCGGATATGTCTGGATTTCCCATGAACCGCGTGCTCCCCCCACACGGCTGCTTCCAAGAAGCCAAGCTTCAGTGCCCTCCATATCCCCCAGCTTCGCGTGCGATGACATGACCTTGCTGACACAAGCAACGCAACGAGACGCGCTGCCCACGACATCTCAATGCCAATCCCTACAACATGCTCATCTGAAGCTCCAAGCAGCCCTTGAAAGCTCCAAAGAGCATGACATCTCGGTATCTCGGAACTTCTATGATATAGTTTGGGTCCCTTCCTGTTTTCTGAGCACACTTGCCAGACCAGTTCTGCTATGTTCTGCTCCCTCCTGCTTCACCTTCTCACTTCGATCAGCTCAGCTCGCGGCCGCGTGGAAGTGTGCGGGTCCAGGGCTCAGATCTTCCTCGCCCATGACTTTCAGCCATTCAGCCGCACCTGGGAAGTAGGGGATGGGGGTGGATGGATGGATGGATGGATGGATGGATGGATGGATGGATGGAGGGATGGAGGGATGGAGGGATGGAGGGATGGAGGGATGGAGGGATGGAGGGATGGAGGGATGGAGGGATGGAGGGATGGAGGGATGGGATGGATGGATGGTGCGGATGGATGGGGTGGAAAAACAACTAAAATACTTCTTAGCTGCTGAACGTTCCATGTCGTGACCTAGCTATCAGCTGTTCAGTCCAGTTGTATCTCCTGCGTACTTTTGGATTCGGATTTCATCCATGTAGTCGGCAAGCTTTTGATTATGATTCAAGAAAGTACCTAGGCTCCCTTAACCCAAAGGCTGGTAGGCACATACATGACATGAATATATATATATATATATATAAACGCATATCCTATAACACACACATACATTTTTACCGCGATTTGTTGAAAACATGTTACCTTAACAACACATGACTATACTATGATATCATATGAGTCATATGAGTCTCATGGAGAGAAGGTCTTGTTTTCCTTGGGAACCTCTTGGGCATGGTCGTGGTTGTGCTGCTGCTGCTGCTGCTGTTGTTGTTAGGGGAGGAAGGGGCTGCCGATTTGGTCCATAGATTGACATCCATAAACTCACCAGCACCTTCACCTGCCCTACTTCACCTGATTGATCTCGCGAACCAACAACCGCCATAAGCCTGGCAACAGCATTCCAAAGATATAGAACAAAGAAGGTATCTGGGTAGATGTATGCGAATATTAACTTCAACATGATTCGACTATAGATAGTTTCACTGTGATTGCTTTTCTGCAGGACCGGGGATGTTCTCTATATTTCTCTATTGATGAGAGGATTTCGCACAAGCTCCAGGGTCGATGTGGTGCCAAAAGTCCTTTTCCAGTCACTGAACCCAAACACAAAACAGTGATGGCGCGCTCTTCCTTCGTCTACAGTTCTCTGTCTCAAGAAATGACATATTAAAAAACAAATAAGAAAAAGGACACATCAAATGGCCGTATCTTCTTTACATCATTCGTGCACACAACAAAGAGAAAACAAACAAAAACGCAAGAATGGTGGTGTAACACTCTAGGAGCAATGACGCTACGAACGGGGCTCCTGGCCTTACTACTAGGAGCAAGGACGCTACGAACGGGGCTCCCAATGTTCAGCACGCCTTCGGGGTCGCCAGACTGCCCACAGGCGCGAAGGAGCTGCAGGTAGCTGGCGGAATCGGGGATGATGCCATCGTCCTGGTGATTCATGACACAACCAGCTGCGTATGAATCCAATGGTCCTCAGTGTTGAGGTGGTCTTTCTAGTTGTACACACCTTATCAAATCACACAGCTTTATCTGAACACCTATCCTTGTCAATAAATCAGTTTGCGTTGATCCGAATCGATCCAGTGTTTAAGGTCAGAAGGGTGATCATCTACCTTGCCAAAAATGAACCTGCAAACCTGACATGATCAAAAGAAAGGATCCATCCTCAGAAAGTAATTCTACTCACCCTCTCGGTCGCTGACAGCGGCAAGGAATCTGCCTTCCACCTCCCGGAACAGGACATCCCAGGACACCCCTGACACCGCAGGACATCCCTCGCCACGCCTGCATCCTCCCGAACATCTCTTCCACCTGGTCAACCTGGCGAGGTTTCGAGCCAGGTGTGGCGACGGATCCCACACGAACGACGGCAACGTCGGTGGCGAATTGCCAGGTGGCTCCAGGTGTGTGGGTATCAACAGTGCAATTTCGTTCGAGCATCCGACCCTGTGTCACTCCTGCGACCCGCGGTCCCCTGCGGTCCCCTGCGGTCCCCTGCGGTCCGACCAGGATTCCCGGTGTCACTCTGAAGAAAATGGGCCTTCCAATCTCTCGATGCCCCACGCTGTCGTCTTCAGCGTCTGACTCAAACCGAGATCCGGTGCCTCTCCCAGCTGCGCCCAGTGCTTCATAAGCGTGTTGTAGGCGAAGGTGTTGCTGCTTGCCTTTGAAAAATTGCCAAAACTGATCAGCATCCACCCACTCAAGTTTCTCACAGTTGCAAAAAATCATGACAGGTTAGAAGGGTTACACGTTTCTCAACCTCAGTCTTTGCAAGTGGCATGCTTTATCGTACATCAGGTTCATCGGCTAACTCGGAAAGTTCAGGTTCAATTACACGTTTGCCCGAAGCATCCATATCATCCACGGCGGCAAGTTCAATTAAAGTACAGGTTAGACTCCATGGCTACACATGAAAGTGGCATGTTGTATCGTGCATCAGGTTCGTCATCTATCTTGGAAAGTTCATATCAGGTCAAGTTCAATTACAGGTTAGCTAGTTACACCTTTCTCAACCCTCAGTCTTTGATGGTGGCATGTCTTATCGTACACCATCTACCTTGGAAAGTTGAAGTTCAAGTTCAATTGCACGGTAGCCCGAAGCATCTATCGTGGCAAGTTCAATTATAGGTTAGCCAGCTACACCTTGCTCAGCTCTCAGTCTTTGATAGTCGCATGAGTTTTATCGTACATCAGGTTCATCATGTACCATTTCTTGCTATCACCCATATTCTAGGTGCACATGCGCTTGCAGCAGCCGAGCATAAAGGTTTCTCGATGCCAACTCTGATTATAACCCAAATTCTAGTTGCACATGCAGTTTGAAAAGGTGGTGCGTAGATCTTGATTGATGCCATTTCTTATTATGCCCCATATTCCCGGCCGTAACAATAGTGGATAATACGCATTAACCGATACTACTTCTTATTATGACGGGTAGTCTAGATGCGCATGCGATTCCATGATCTTTTTATGACCCATATTCTACGTGCACATGTGCGTACAACTGTGGAGCATACAATGGCTTAAACAGCACCAAGAGAAGAAACCAAAAGCGATCCTCATGATGCTCCCCGGAAGTTCATCTGGCAAGGCTGCAAGGAACTCTTGTCCAACTGGCCTTCTAGGTCTTCATCCAATTTCACAAACACCGGAGCATAGGCGAAACCATCCGAAACCACAACCGTCGAAACTGTTGTATTTAATGCTTCAAGGGAACCTTATGATTGGACGGTTATGGTGGTCCCTTGTTCAGATGCTTTTAGGATGTCTGTGAAATTCATATGATTTCACACGTCACATATGCCTCTCTTACAAGGATAATTCTCGTAGGTACTTTGACCAACATCCCACACGGGAGGAGAAGCATTTTCCGTTGGTCATCCCCAAAGCCTATGACGAACGACCCTCAGAAGGCACATCCCTCATGTGTTGATCACTTGTTCCATTCCAAGAATTGGGTTGAAGGGAGAGATGGTCAGTCAAGCTATGAATACAACACTAAAAAAAATCCAAAGGCTGTGAAACGTGATCAATGGATCCTCTCAACTCCTGGCTAGTACGTTGCGCTGCGGCGCTGCGCAGGTCTTCCGCTGGAGCCAACGTTAAACTACTCGTTGCCTCGCTGGGCCGTTCCGAAGCACTCCCGAACCCAGTCGCGATCGTGGCGCAACGACACACGTCCGATCGTGGATCAGCTGAAGCGGCGATCTCACAGCCGGAGGCTTTCATGGCTTGCATGGCCCGCTCCTCAGTGACGGCTGTAAGGAATGACCCAGATGCATCCACGGCTTGGCACGAATTCTAGATTCCTAGGCTCCAAATATCTTCTAATCATTGGATGACACAGTGTGGGGCTCCACCTCTTGTAGACACATAAAATACAGTCAAGAATGGGTTGAGTCATATTCTTTCATATTGGCACGTTGATAAAGCCACGCAGGAGAGTCAAGATTAGTGCAGCCATGTGCAGCCTACAGTCATCCTAACACTGAGTTGTTGGTTGCTTCGTGTTTGGTCTACAAGGCCCTCCAAAACCATTTCTGTGGTAGAAACACCCAAGAGAGCGACTGAAACGTCCGTTCGGTCGATGTTCCGATATGCCGCCCACACGGGTGGATGCTGTGGAGGGTTCGCATGCATGCGTGCACTCATGTGAGTAGAACCATGCTGGAGACGGTCAAAGGAGGTCAAGGAGGAACACCTCGCTCCAAAAGTAGCCATCAACATGCATCAACAAGTAAGCCCCCGCAAAGCGGGTGCACGTGCTCAAACGGAGCTGCTTTGCTGTCCTTCCATCCCCAAGTCTCAATGAATCCCACACACTCGCCATTGGCTACAGATCAAGCAATCGATTTGTGGACTTGACACCAACTGCTGTTGAATTCTTCCTGCTCTGGAATGGAATGTGACGGGAAACACTGCAAAAGTCCTGCAAGTCCTGCTAGGCTCAGGTGCTTCCGGTTCTTCCGGGTGCGGTCCGCGGGCTTGCACAGGCGAGGCACTGCGCCCTGCAAGTCTTTCGCCTCCACGTAACTCTGAACTAAGGCGCTATAGCCTTGGCTCTCGGTCTCCGTCTCGCGATTTGCCAAGAGAGAGTGCAAAACTGGGTTTGACACGTCCTTGACTGGAAATATATGCCTACATTGACTCCTGAAACCACACCAGTGTAGGCAAACCATACCATCCATTGGAGTGTCTGGGATGGGCTATTCATTCTTTTCACACGTGACGGGTCTGCTTGTATCCACTAGAATGTTAGCTATGAGCGTTACGGGTCTGCTATGACCCGCATTCAGAGTGCTGTCTAAGACGGGTCCCTGTCTCACTCTAGAGTGTCACCTCTGATGCACCAGACGTTCATTAAGCTGATCCTGCAAAATAACCAAGTAAAAACAGCGTACATGCTGAGAACAAACAGCCTCAGCTTAGGCTTTCCTGAATCAAATGTGTTCATCTGAATCTAGATGTTTAGTCATTGACAAAACACATCGTTCTCTTCGACCAGGCGGCTGTACATGTCAGGATCAACCCCTCGTGCCTTCATTCTCCGAATCCACTTCTCCTCGGCTGAAGAACGAGCACGAGGATTCATTTATGACCCGTATCTCCATGCTGGCCCTGAAAGCATGCATGAAACTGAAAGGCGTTGCAACGAAACCACTGCCAATTCCACACGAAAAGGCGTTCCGGGGTGTTCCGGAGCGTTTTAGGGAATTGGTTCCAACTGTAACTCACCGACGCAAGGTTCAAGTGGAGAGACTCAATCTGGGAACATGTTGGAAAGGTTGGGCCAAACCAGATTAAGAACTTTTTGCTAGGTTAGCTTTTCCAAGATCAAAACTAACTCGCGCATTGTGCACAGCCTGTGGTTCCTCACATTATTCCAGAAGACTGCACAATGGTTGCTGACGTCCTGCCTTGAAACAGCCAACCCCCATAGCACTTGTCTGTCAATCCTCCAGCTGCGCAAAGTTGCCGAGGCACTGCCTTGAGAAACTCTCCTCTCTGGCCATAACACTTTAGCAGGGTGTTGTAGCCTTGGTTTCCATGGAAGCTGAGCGTCTCTCGCTTGGCGTGAGAAGACCAAACGGAATGAGTGCCATGATGGCTCAACGTTTCACTTTGGCTAGTGACTGGGCCACACATTCCTGATATATAGACCCCCAAATACATAGAAAACTAGATCCCTACTAAAAATGTTTTGGAAACCGTGCCACTATCTAATTGGGGACTATATATTGAATACTAACTTCACCCCACTTCCCAGTGGTTTTGTGGTGCTGCTTTGTTGCTGTAGGTACCTTGAAAGGTCTGGTGTTAGGGAAATAAAGCGCCAAATTTAGGCGACAACTACTCTCTGAGAAAGGCATAGTTTTGCCAAAACGACAGAGTCGGTCTGCATTTGGCTTACATTCCCATTTCTTTCCACACCAGCGCATATATACTAGCAATTGTTACACTTCTCCAATGATATTATTGATCTAAGCAGGGGTCCGTTTTGTGTGCCTTTCTTACAACCCAGCGTTTGTCTACAAGTGTGTGACTGGGAACTGGTAGGCATAGACTTGCAAAATGCCAGTGGAAAGAACCACCACACACTTGTAAGCTTGCAGTCTATCAGTGCAACGATTTCAAAGAATCCGGGTAATTGTCATATATAATCTACAAGATGTATTCCCAACTCTATATTATTGTATGAAAGAGTTGTATAATATGTATAAAGACATCATAGTATTCTCCCTCAACCCGGCCCTCCGAAAGTTCAATCATGTGGCTCGCGATATCTGGCTGAAAGATGCGGTCCAGCATGTCCTACACCGTCGCCCGGACAAGGCAGGATGTGGCAGAGGTCCGGCACAAAGGCAACGCGAAACAACCTATGAATCAGTATCATATGCATGGAAGATTATGGATGTGTAGCTCCTGGAGACCGTCTTCTTGGTCTATGTTCCCTCCTGCCAGCGGCCCTTCTTCCACAAACATGTCACGAAGGGTCGGATCTTCCAAAACAGCTCGAATCCCTGAAGCAAACCGCAGCTTTGAAATGCCTTCCCCAGTGTTTCCACTGACAGACCGAGTAAACCGTCACACCCAGCACACGCATCTCGGGACTTGGTCCTGAAACAAATCCAGACGGTACGGTACATGTGTAAACCGTGGATTGCATAGCTAAGCTTGGATGTTTCCTCAATGCACATACGGCACCGGGCCTTCCCCCTCCCATTTGACGCAACTCGGATGTTTCTTAACTTCCATTGATAGAAGCATCTGCAAAACAGAGCCCAGTTTCATTGCGCCATTCCAGCAGAAATAAAGAAACACTCCAAAGTAATACTAGTTTCTAGGCCGCCCATGCCCATACAACCCATGAAGATCAGATCAAGAAACATAGCAGCAGAATTATCGGAATAACAAAAAAAAATCCAATCAAAAGCTCCTGTGCTAGTCAAGAGTAATTATAACCCATTCTCAACATTCCCCATCGGAACACCACCTGGTGTTGGACTTTGACTACCGAGCAGCTGTTTCCGTTCGCGCCCAGTGCCTAAACCGGACCCACTTCTTCGCTTAGAGCTTCAGTACCCTGGACCCACCACCCCACCGTACGAAGCAGAACGAGAAGAAACGGACGCAGCGGACCCTCCTGGAGCCAACTCTCAGCAGCCTTTGGCCGGTTGGCGTTCACGTGGGCCTGGTCGACCGAGCCGAGCCGAGCCGAGAAGACGCAAGGACACGAGATGTTTGGTGTTTTTCTTGCTGAACATCTTACACAGTCATATATTAAATATATATATATAATATATATATATACACTGTGTTTTTGTTGGAACCTGGGTGTACTGATTTGTACTTATAATTCCATGTTGTGCTAATTTTCTACGAACATCTACTAACAGTATCTAACAGTATGTAATTGAGGCTTTGAGCGTTTGGCAAACCTGGCACCCTCCCATAGAGTTGGGCACGACATCGGAACGAAATCCAGGCTGACACGAGCTCTGAGAGGCGGGCTTGGCATTTTCAGGTCCGACCTTCAAAAGGGTGGTGAAACCAGTAAATTCCAAGCAATATTATGAAGGTGGTCAAAGCAGATGAAGCAAATGAGGCAGATTCTGATACATGTCTGTTTGACCTTTTCCGCTTGATCTTCTTCTGGTGGTCAAACATCAAACATCCCAAACCGTTCTGAGATGCAGCCGGTGACACCAGCCGTAAAACGGTTCTTGTCGATACTGTGTCCACCGGGCTTTGGCAACCGGCCGTCGTGATTGATTTCGCCCAGTGGCCCAAATTCGATACGTTTGCACCGGTACGTTTGCATCGGATGGTAGTCCGGGATCAGATTCTAGACGATTCCAGACTTGTTGGACATGAAAGGATTGATACTGCAATATCGCATCTGATTAGGGAGCCGAGAACGTGGGTCATCCTGAATTATCCTGGGTCTTTGCCTTTTGGTGTCAAGTTTGGTATGAAAGCATTGATCTTGGAGGTGAGTAGCTTAGAGTGGTGGTGGTGGTGGTGGTGGTAGTAGTAGTAGTAGTACTAGTAGTAGTACTAGTAGTAGTAGTAGTAGTAGTAGTAGTGGTAGTGGTAGTGGTAGTAGTAGTAGTACTAGTACTAGTACTAGTACGTAGTAGGTAGTAGGTAGTAGGTAGTAGGTAGTAGTGGTAGTAGTGGTAGTAGTGGTAGTAGTAGCAGTAGGAGGAGTAGTAGTAGTAGTGGTAGCAGTAGTAGTAGTAGTAGTAGTAGTAGTAGTAGTAGTAGTAGTAGTGGTAGTAGTGGTAGTAGTGGTAGTAGTGGTAGTAGTGGTAGTAGTAGTGGTAGTAGTATTGGTGGATAGCGCGCCATCTTGTGCAGAAGTCCGTGTTTGCTGACAAATGAAAAGAACGATTGATGAACAGAACGATTGATATTCTAAATATGAGTATAAGGTATAGAGTATCCACACAAGCCTTTAGAAATAACCTGGCAGTTGAGCAATGCTTCTTTCACACTTGTTTAAATTGGATTCAATATAAACGTGAAACTGCTCAGAGTCGCTTGCCACAGGGCGCACTGGAGGTGAATTGGATGCCGAGTCTCCAGGCACCCTGGGACACCTTTGGTTGGGGTTCTATCTGATATCCTCAACAGAAACACATGCAAAAGTATGGTCTTGATATGTTTTGACATGTTTTGACTGCACGTACTCGCCAGAAAGCGCCTATACATCACCTTTCTACATGGCTCAAACAACATGGGCACCACCCACTCATCCAAATACATGGGAACATATTCACATCGTCGATCTTCCCCAAGCCTCTGTGTCAACTTTCACATCATCCACATCTCTGTCTTCTTCGGAAAAATAAAAATACGGCTTTTCTCACATGGTCACATCGTTCGAATCGATTGTCCACGTCGATCGCACCTTGATCATCTGGTTCCACATCATCCGACCCAATGGCAGGCGCAAATGCCGCCGCCGCCAGATCCCTCCCGGCGTTCGGCGTTGTGCTGGGAGAGACCGACCCCATACGGCGCTTGGGGAAAGACATTCCAGAAACCGCCTGGAACCTCGTAGGATAACATGTTTGCATATTTACTATTATGATACTATAACGTACTATATTGTGTTATATTGTAATATTTGGAGATTCTGTCTCAAATGGTGCAGGATGCCTTCATTGCATTGCACTAAGCTGATCGAACAACTTTGCCAAGGGTTGCAAGACACAATCTTTAGGAGGTAAAATGGTACAGCTTGAGCACAGCCCCATACTTGATCTGAAGAAATGACCGTCTTCGGCCAGTGAACATTGTTGTGGACGTGGGTCAACATGTTGGTCCTTCCAAAACACCAAAACGACCGCACTCTCGTCAACCGCGCATGTTTACCTCTTGTGGAAGATGGGCGGCACAAATCCACACCAACTAGGCCCCGATGGGGACCCCAGGAATATGATGTCTTTCACTAAAAACAACATTACATCTCCAACGGTGGGGCCATACCCACCGGTGTACCCACCGGCTTTTGTTCGCATCCGTTTGCCAATGGGCGCCTTTCATGATGTAGCGTGCGTCTTGCCATTCACCCCGCTGCGCCTCGGCGCGGACACCGAAGAGGACGGCGCGGATCGATCCGGAACGGACCTTTCGTTCGGAAGCAACTTGTGCTATATTTCGTTCCTCTGCTTGGTTTTGTAATTGATCAAACTGATGCAACATTTGAGTAAGTCCGCTTGAAGGAGTATACTGACAATCATTGATAACAACCCAACACAGCAGAATGCATGCCAAAGAACCAAACACCTCGCACCCCTCCGATGTTGAATCTTGTAGCGCCAATTTGTTCGTCTTGTGCCATGCCAAAATCTTGAGATGATCATTGGTAGTTTGACCAGGACAAAGTCCCTAAACCGGTTGCCTCTGATCACGAATAGGTTACCCTCCCCCTATACCCCAAATAAAGATCCAAAACATGAATAGAAACCACCACTAAGATCCCTAGAAGCACTGGAAATCCTCCGTGTCTCCCTTGGTTGTTCAATTTTTTCTGCTGCGAAAAAATAGCACACGCGAGCAAACTGTCGAACAAGTCGAAGTGGATGGCTACAACGAGACGCAAATAGAACTCGCTCCTGTTGAACACATCGCTGCCCAGTGAGGCAAAAGGTGAGGCAAAACAGCAAAATACTGTATACAAGTGCTTTGGCAACCAACTACAGTTCATCTACTAGGCTACCCCCCTGCAACCTAACATGGACCATGAAAACGAACCCCTGCCAGACTTTGCTGTCTAGCACCTGTGCTTTTCAGGGTCCATGTTAATCTGCAGGAGCTTAATTACTCGACTCATACTACTAGGGGCTAGAAGCTACTAGGGGCTCCTGGCCCTACTACTAGGAACAAGAAGCTACTAGGGGCTCCTGGCCTTACTACTAGGAACAAGAAGCTACTAGGAGCATTCTTGCTAACTACTCATTATTACTCCAAACATCTCCAAACCGTTGACCGAGTCGAGTCAAAGGCTCGTTGGATCATGTGCACGACGCACGCAGCATGGACCGGCAGCGTCGACCTTCTCCGCCGGAACCCGCCGCTCACTGAAACAATTGCGCCCAGCATGCGTCCGCCTCCCCTTCGGGGGGGCTTCAGATGAGGGTTTTCGCTGTGTGAGCTGGGTGTCCCGGCATCTTGTGAAGCGCTAGCTCACTCAGCCAAAGGAATTTGAAACATGAAACTCTAACGGCCTTGCGTTTGTATTCTTTGTGTAACACTCACCAAGAAGGTCATCCAAACTCGACCTTTAAGCATGAGAGCCAACATGGGCCCCCCTTGAAAGACAGATCTGACCAACATTCAATATGTCGTGTGTTTCTAACAACGAGGTCACCAAGCTCAAACACAAACGGAGATTTAGAGTCTCACTGGGAACGCCGAATCTTATCCACAATTAAGTGATCAAATTCCCATAGCTTATTGCCCTTATTGCCCTTATTGCTATTTGGTTGGAGGCCATTGCATCTGATGTGTCTTTTGGAAATTGAACAAACATGTACTTCTCTGCCGGAAAGGCTTCAGTGTTCATAGCTGAGTGACCTTTGTACAAATCAGCCAAGAGCCTGCAAGATTTTGCTGCTGATGCTTCTGCCACAGGGTCCGTTCAAAGGCCAGAATACCTCTCTGCATGTTAACATATCTTAATCCGGGGTGATCAAAATGAGCATCGCTGAGATCCTTCTGGACTTTTGACTTCAGAAGGCCAGCTTCGTACTTGCCCCAGTCTGGCGATTCCGCTAGAACCACTGCACCGCGCTTCCGTTCTTGCTTCAGCGCCCGAGGCCCATGGGGGGGTGAAGAACACTAAGAGATGCTGCGAGATGTCACGATGAAAAGATCCGTTTGACGGTTTTCTTATCACAGATTGTTGGAAATTTCTCCAGTGTTCTTTGGTATGTTGGGATATCCCTGATGTTCAAATCACATCATTCGTTGCTGTCACAACTGTTTTGGTTTACCAGGGCAAAACATGACTGCGGACCTTGTGGATCCCATGTTCCCGTGCGCTTGGCGCACTTTGCGACCCTTCTCCATCTGCCGTATACCGACACTCGTCTACCGATCAGCAAGGCATTTCTGTTGGAAAAGGTTCTTATGGGAACTTCAGGGCAGGCGATTCGATGAGCTCGGCGAGCAGCTCGAGCAGCTAGCTTCCGACCCCTTAAGTTGTCAGACGACAAACATGTCAAACATTTGGACCTGGGTCAAAACCAGAGACCTTGGTTGACCACCAAAATGAACAGAATACAGGTCAATCTACCAGGGTTTGGGGCTTTAGGTTTTGACTCACAGCCATTTGAGACAACCAACACAGAATCTAAACTCAAATTTGATCGATAGAAGGCTTTGCACTTGAAACAGGATCGATATTTTAAACCATTGAGCCAAACCAATGGGTGTTGGTCTATGTTCCATCTGCCAGGGAATCTTTGGGATGTCTCCCTAACTTTTTCTTGGACACCTACCTATATCACTCTGTTCTGCAGGCTTACCTTTTGGAGTGCTTTTAGAGTGTCTGCAACGAACCCAGTGTTCGTGGAATCCAAGAGGGGCCACGGCGGCCACGGTCAAAATTGAACATCGAAGGAGATAGACATGGTCGCATGTGGTATACCGTGGGTTTTAGTTTCTTGGTTGAACCCTGCGCTTTGAGATTCCACGTCCATCTCTTTTGTTATTTGTGTGGTCTTCAATGAGTTTCCAGCATACCTCATATGATAGACTCAAAATGGCTCGAATGTGCTGAAAACAACAATTCCACTCCACGCAAAACACAGAAAGATGGTCGACGAAGCCGCATGGCTCAATATACTGTATCTGTCTATTTTTTTGAGGTCTGGCTCAATCATCCTCTTTTTCTTTGGTGTTCCCGCTTCCCACCGAATATAACCATGCGCCATGCTCGACGAACTAGCTCTATGACTAGCGGGGAGCATCCAAACTGCAAAAGGTTGTCCTTTTCCATGGGACACTGTGACCCTCTCTCGCACCGAGAACACTCCCAAGTTGGATAAGTGTAGTACCTATTCATGTTGCTCGGCTGACCATGCAAGAAACCAGGAATAGAGAGATGCCATTCCCTGCAAACAAACCTTGAGGAACGGTTCCCCTTCGTACCAAGCAATCGATCGATAGCTGTTTACTCAATGTGAAGCTGACAATCAATGAGAATCTGCCAACCCAACAGTCTCCAACCAGTCTCTTTGAGATATCCTCGTGCTGTTTCGCACGGTCTGGGAAATTTAAACGTGATGAAAAAGCTCTCGCAGTCGGCTTTCTATCCTTCATGTAAGGATTACAGATCGGCAGAAAAGTTGCACCCTCCTAGTCCTTTTGACATTTTCGTGGAAAGATCGGAAGTGGATCCAAAGCTGTGTGTGCATTGTTAGCAAGCCTTGTCCGGCTCAAACCCGGTCATTCCAGGGTCATTCAAGGCAAATCAACACCCTCGGTTGCCAGCCTTGAAGCCCTTTGAAGCGACCAAATGTAACAGGATGTTTCTCCAACTTGGGGACCAGCTGTTAGATGGAGGTTGTATGATTCAGTCAGATGCTTATGGCCCATGTTCGGTCTATTGGGGATGATTCATATGGATCAATTCCTTCAAGTGACGCCAGTCATGGCCTGATCACCAGGCACTGTCAACCCCAAAAGAATGCACTCGGTCGGGTGCCCCTGATCAAACCAACATGAAACAATCGAACAAGTCCACCAGGCCATGGACAAAGGGACACCTGTGAAGCGAAATTTGTCCGCTGGGTCAATCAAAAATGGCTCCCAAAACCAAGATATGAATATGAATTCATCTGCTGAGGCGTTGAGTCCACATCGCGACGATTTGGGCTGGGGTGTTCCATGGTGCTCCTGTACTGTTCTGCAGATCTGGTCCATCTTAAAAGCACCAAAGTGCATGGTTGCACGTGGTCAGAGCCAGCGTCCTTGGCACCAGCAGCACAGCAATGCAACTTCAGAAGTTTCTGCTCTCCCAAAGAGGTCGACTTGGAGGGGTTGGAGTTCTTTGGATCTCCTCTCCGTGTAGATCACGCCCCAAGTTCTTGACGTCAATTGCTTTTTCTTTGTTCAAGGCCTTCTCCCGAATGACACACCCATGAAACACCGCAGGCAGGGCTACGACAGCCTCCGAGCAACCAGTGTTAGGTGTCTGGCTGCAGCAACATCTTACAATCCAAGTAAGGGGTGTCCAATGGAGATATAACAAGTACGGCAGGCTAGTCCGTTGATGAGTCCTTCGATGGTCCAAATATGGCCAAATACTCGTTACGTCTTGCTACTTATTACTTGTTTATACTTGTTTGTTCCAATCTTCAGACTTCCAAAGCTTCCCCCTTAGCGGGAGTCTCTTTGTCCTCCCCTGACCGGCAAAAAAAGGCGGTCCTCGCGTCGGGAGAAACCGCGTCGGGCCCCGCTCACTTGATGGAAGCGGTCCGCAGCACCGGGTTCTCGAACGTCCTCAGTCGCTTCCGTCGCTTCAGTCGAACCGCTTCGCTTCACACCGACGGTTCGAAGCGAAGGTTGTAGGAAAACTCCAGTCCTCGCCAGTCCTCCCCCGAAAACAACCTTGCTTCAAGTATCAAAAGAGAATAATATCATGACCTGCCAACATGGCATAGTAGATATAGTAGGCCCTACTATTCGGGAACAGCATCGATTCAAACCAATGCTGCATGCCTATTGAACTATTTGGATTAAAGTGAGGATTGCTTTCCGCTTCTGACTGCCTTGTTGACTCGCAGATCCCATGTTGTTCGCAAGGATAGGGTGTGCTTGAAGCAATCAGTAGGATAAACATTGATAAGTGATGTTCTTGATTGGAGGCGACAGCTTATGAAGGATAGATAAGGATAGTACCACACTTCCCACCATTTTCTAGCAACTGCTCTCATTTGGGTCCATCGTTCACCAAGAGCAGCCTAAGCTTTGAATGAGAAGAATGACAAGTCGTCACGGCCCTTTTGCCCAGCTTAACCAGTCAGCTTGACCAACCCAAGCGGCGTGGTGTTCGCTTGTTGGAAGAGGGTCATCTGATGCATCAAACGTCCGACACGTTTCTTCTTCTCCTCGGCTTTTGAGCTGTTGAACACTGGTTACTAGCGACTCAAAAAATATCAGGCAGGAAGGTTCTTGTCTTTGTTGGTTGGTTGTTGGCATAGCTGGTATAGTCTCCGGTGAATCAGCCAATCAAGAGATAACAGCAATTATATAAATAAGCCATACGTGTCAGCAGGCACAGGAAATATCACTGCTGGGGCAGTTTGGAGATGTTGAGGGTGTGGTTTGACACCCGGCAGTGAAGGTGTCATTCTCATTTGGCCGACGGGAAGTCCTTATCAAGGGCTCCTATCTTGGTCAAGTGCCCATATCCTTTTCCTGCGCTTAAAAGCGATGGTGGAGTCTATGATCTGCAGGAACGCCAAACAATTTACAGGGTAGGTAGGCCAAGCCGCAGGAAGAAATAAGGCCCACATCAAAGAGGGGAGGTTCAGTACTTTCATCAGCTTTTCTACTAGGTTTGAGATGGTTTGGGAGGGTCGAAAGATGAAAGTTCAACAAGTTTGTTTCATACTTGTTGACAACACTTCACTCTGGGAATGAGACTCATGCGGGCAAATGACCCGATCCACACCTGCACCAAAGACGTGCTTGGTATCATCACCTGATCAACTCTTTTGGACTCCTAAAGAAATAGAACAGTGATTTCCGTCATCATATGATATTATATACTTACATATACATCCTGTACTGACTATATGCCATATGCTGGTATGTCTCATCTCTTTGCCTCTATTCCCCCCAAAAAAGTGACTCCAGGAAAAAGAACCGCCGGGTCACCCGATGATCGAGGACGACCTCCACGTTTTCGCCAAGCCTCCGAGGACGGGATGACCTTCGCCTTTTCCAGTGCCTCTGCGAGGTTCGCCACCTGGTCCCCGACGCGCTCCACCTGACGGATTGGGTCTTGGACGGTGATTGAGTGTGGGTTGTATCCAGCTTCAGTGAGTAGCACTCGTTCTTTGCTAAACTAAGATTTGAGCCCTTTTTGGATGTTTGTCTGTAGTTTTTTGGTGAAACACTCGGTTTGAGCGGTTTTTGAGACTTGAAGACTAGATTTGTTCTTGGACCAAAGGTGGAAATCCGCAAAATGCGAACAAATTGCCTCAAAACGCACACAAAATTGCAAATCACCCAAAATTGGGTTGGATGAGAGATGCGATTCCGCGCAGGTTTTCCGAGTGATTGTAGCGGTTTTTGTTTGAATGAGGACTGTTTATTTGGACATGGGCATAGTTTTATAGCGAAGGAAACCTGGGATATAATATTGAAACTGGTTGCAAGTTGCGGGAAATTGGTGCACACAGCCTCGTGGCCTCGCCGCGTCGTGGAAACGACGACCGAGTTCAGAGTTCCGCCTCGTTGTGCAAGATCAGCTGGTCGATGGCTCGTGCGGAACCCTTGCACCGAAGGATTCCTGCGGATCCAACGGGTCGAAAGACCCCTCTGTGCGACATGGATGAAGCACGTCTCTCAGTGCCATTCAGTGTTTGCCAAGGACATGAAGTGTTTGTTTGTCTTGGATGATGGGTTTCTTGTCATGGGCTCTATTGGTGACTGTGGACGGAAGTGACATAGTTCGAATGAGAGTGTGACGCATGCAAAACCAGCAAGATGGTCCAACACTTGCGAAATCAAGTTTGTTCCATCATGATGTCCGTTTGGAGCAACACCCAAATCACTGATGCCATGAACATCGCCCGCCCCCAGCAAACTCTGACCATACTGGGCCTGCAATAAAGTCTTGGTAGGTGATCTCGCCGTCATCGTTCCTGAAACGTCCCGACGACCCCCTGTGGGGATACCGTTGAAGTTGGCTGGGCCCCTGGGCTGGTGATGTTCAGAACGACAAAGAACTGGAACATCAGTATTGTGACATTTGCTAGATGTTTGTTTTGCCAAAGCCCCGCAAGACTGGCTGCCTGTGCTACTTTATTTATTTATGTTAAAACAATTTTTCAACCAATGCCCGAGGGGTGTGTGTGTGTCACACTCTGTTCCAAAGAGTTTCTTTTCGGTTCATATCGCAGGGGACCAGGCAGGATGCATGGTCGCCTGGTCAAAAAAGCTGGCGATGCATCCGAGGAGATGGAAATGGGACGCCATTTCCACGTACCTGCTAAAAACTGTTGTTTACGCTGTGACTCCACTTTTCCTTTTTTTGTTTCCATGGTGGTTCTTCGCATGATATCCCCCCAAACAGGTTTCCTTAGCTTTGGTAAAGTGCTAGTGAGTTTGTTAAACAGTTCTGTTCTTCGGACCCTTTCGCCTTACCGTTTTTGTAGTAAAGTGCTAATGCAGTAACTAGCTTCCGCAGTCACGCAAAACCGCCATACCACCACCCACCGACACACCACCACTTATTCGCCGATTCCGTTGCAGAGATAGGTCTCGCTCCCGAGATCGCCTCCCTCTCACCACACCGTCACAACCAAATCACACAACCCACATACACCAGACAACCCCAGACCAACCCCCTGCGGCTCATGGCCATCGTGGACACTTACATCAAGCACTCTGGACGGCTTCCAATTCCTCAGCGGCCTACCACATGATCGCTGGCACGCTATCATCCTCCCCCTGAGGCAGCCCCGACAACGCTTTGTCTCACACATTACATCCCGCTCAGAGAAAAAAACCGCACAACAAATAACCCTCATACATTTTCCATCTTACATTCCAGCAGTCACTCACTTTCCTCCGCAGCCATTTGAACTCTCGAAGGGCCGCTACCTGCCTCCCTCTCCGCCTCATCACCACCCCATGGACCACGACTCTCCGGACTGGGATCGCACCCCTACAGAGTCTATCGAGGTGAAGGATGAGGCACCTCACACTACCAAAGCCGAGCCTGTCGAACCCCCGACCAACGAGACCAAGTTGGAACTCATGAAAAAGGAGGAAGATTCGCCACAGCACACTCCTATGCTTTGTCCTCCGGTCCGCACTGTACCAGACAAAACCTCCACAACATCCACATCACCTCCTGCCAAAGCCCCCCCTGTTTCCCACACATCTTACCGGAACCTTTCCACACGCACTACGTCACAGGCCAACCCCAAGACTACTCCAACACCACCCACAACTACTCGTCCGCATCTCACAGCGCCACCCACACCACCCTCTACCACATCCTCCACCAGCACTGAGGATCCTATCATCCTCACCACCAACGTTCCCATTCTGGTGAAAGCACGTCCGGGGCACCCACCAATCAATACCACCTGGGTGGGCCCCCCACAGTCACACCACCCTCCACATTCCGCAACACCCACACGCATCCCCCTACAGGTCACCATTCCACGCCCCCATCGGAATGGCCAACTTTTACCCTTCAACTTTTCCACTGACATCAAACACTACCTCAATCCCACAGCACACTCCACCAGACGACCCGCCACACCAAGCCCAGCACCGCCCACTCACTTCCAACCAACCACTGCCACAAATACCACTACAGTGTTCCCGCCGGTACCCCCCATTCCAGACGCCCCACTCACAGAGCAACAAGCTGCCACGCTCCAGCAGACTATCCTGCGGATTGCTCGTCAGGCCGCCGCTGCAGCCGCGGCTGAACTCAATGCACGATCAAGCGGCTTGTAGTTTCACCTCACACCATTCTCACACATCGTGTGATGACCAGAAAAGAACACAGTTTTTCCGTTTTGTTACTTCCTCGTTTCAACTTTCTCTTACTACCGTCTTCAATCCACAATCCACTTTGACCAGGACTTTGTATCACCATGCAATTTCCTTCTTGACCGCAGCTGTTTTTCAACTAGTGATCTTTACCACTTTCAGCGCACAGCCTCCACTCTTGCCTTTCAATGGAGAGCGCCGCCGATTACGATGAGCAGTCTGAGGTTCTATTTCTCTTCAATGAAGGCCCGGAAGAGCCACCTTCACAGACGCACGATCCACCTCACCCGCTGCCGCCTCAACCAACTCCAGATCTTACAACCCCGCAACCCACACCATCAGCCACCAGCAACATCTCGGCAGACCAATCGTTTTGGGCCGAAGTATACACCCTCCAACCACCACATGCCCTCATGGGCATCCTCACTGACCTCCACGTCCACCGATTCGTTCTCCACCAACACCTGGACAGTCTCAACGCACTTACTGACACCCCTATCGGACATCAACCTCTGACTGACACACTTCCACCTCCCATCCAGCGTCTTATCGCCATTTACCACAACAACGTACAACGAATCCAGAGCCACACACACCTGGCTCTCAACGCCATTGACACCATGGCCCGCTTTCCACCAGCGGCATACTTCCTGGATCCCAACCTCGGCGCACAGGCCCCTCCACAAACACACACACAAACCGATCCTCCACCCAGTTCCACCTACCCTCTCCGCTTCTATCCAATCCCCACCGCCGCGGCCAGGCACACAACTCTGCAAGATGCTGCCACCCAAACTTTCCCAAGTCCGGACTCCATCCTGGCCAACCCACTCCCACCGCTCCTCATGCACGAATCCCAACAGACAACCCCTCGAGCAACCACCCATCACCGCCACATCCAGACAGACATCCATGCCATTGTCCAGCTCCCCTCCTTTGCAAGCATCATGCCCACATCAGACACCAATCAACCGGTCACCTCCATTCCCACCGCCAACAGCACGCTCCCCACCGCCTCACCCAATCCCACATCAGCCACCAACAAACAACCACACGATCGATGGCAATACGTCAATCTCATTCCCACTCCCACTGTCACCCTACCGGAACAGCCACACGCTCCTCCGACATTTCCCTCCCCCATCGGCGGCACACCGCGCAACAGACGCTCCAAGACACCTCCTCGCACCACTACCCCCACCCGCACCCGGCAGCCGGATCCACGCACCGGCTCCCCCACACCCCAACGTACAACCCCAGCCACCAACCCACAGTCAACAGCTACAGTCCATCCTCTTCCAAAGCGACCCCCACCATCACTTTACCAAGCCCAACAACCTCATGCTTCCACTGAACCCCTCCAGCCTGTGCCCCCGGCAACCGGCTGGCCGTGCTTCCAAGGCGGATCCTATACGCCTACCCCATCAGTGGCACCGCCAGCAACCGTTGCCCCACCCACCCACCCGTGGCCAGCACATTACCACTTTCCAGCACAACAACCCCCCTTCATCCCACCACAAGCCAGTTCCTCAGACTTCGCTCCACCACCCCCCGTGGTCACGCTCCACCCTTCCACGACAAGGGTGGACACGCAGGGGCGCCCCCTGCCATTGTCTCAACAGAACTATGACCCCGCTACGGACCCGTGGCACGCGGACAACCAGTGATCATGCAGCGGCAGCTTCTGAGGTACCTATCATGCTTTATCCGTGGATGATTCACACACCAACTACACCATCCCACACGTTTTTCGTGTTTTTCGTGTTTGTGTGTGGTTTTATTTCATCATGTTGCCATACGCCAACCATCATCTTCGGACACTAGCTCCCCTCAATCCACAGACCAACACACGCTGTTTCACTTTGCACAACGAAAAACAGTGCGTCTCAGCGGCGGGTCACTCAACAACCTTTTGACTTGGCATACCACCAGGATCTATTCCTGGCCTTCAGCAGCATTCAGTTTTTCTCAGCGGTTTTCTCTTACTTTGATCTTCGACAGGCTAAGGTTTTGACACTTCATTTTTAGACTGACGCTGCTTTCTGATTCAATTGACACTCACAGACGTTATCTCGCATGTTCAGCTTGCTCAAATCAACAATCGGTGCTCCTCGCCCCACGATCCAGTGACACTTTGCCCAGCCACCATGGACGCGCAGTGGCAGCAATACTACTGGAATCATTATTTGATGCAGCAACATCATCAGCAGCTTACCAACCCTGACACCACAACCTCACCTCCCACCACCACTCACCACACCTACAATCCCACTGGCACCTATGGTCCACTCACCCACGCACTCCGTACACACCAAGTCCACCACTCCAATCCCTACGTGACTCCACCATACACACCGCCATCGCAGCATACACCGCCACCACAAGCACCAACCTCACAGCCGGAGTTCCCACCTCCACCCCCGCCACCCCTCCCTACGGCCGAACCTGTTACTCCACCACCATCGACCTTCCAACACAGCCCACCGCCACCACCAGCCGCCCGTGCCGGCACAGCACCTGCCCCACCACCACCACACATCCCATCCCCCATTCCACCAGTTCCAGACTCTTGGCACCCAACCGACCAACATTGGGACTCCAACACCCTGCACGGCCACCAACTACATCGTACAATCCAACCCACCCAGTGGTCTCGAAAAGCAGGAGTGGCAGGACTCCCGACCTTTGAAGTCTTCCCGTGGCAATTGGCTTACCACGGCACCTCCGAATTTACCGCCCGCACACTTAGCAACGGCAAATACACCGGATTTATTGCCACCAGAAGCATTGCGGAGTCAGTTTTCGTGACCCACCTTCTCCAAGAGCTCCGTGAGAAACGCCTTGACCTTGACCGCATTGCGGAGACCCTCCACACCAAACAAGGCACGGACATCCCCAGCAAAACCACCCATGCCCGAGCGTTCCACGCTCCCCTCATCAAACTACTTATCGACCAACTACAAACACATTCTCCGGCACCGGCGGAAGGCACCGCTCTGCGCGCCCTCAAGAACACCACTGACGAACTGGCCCGCGCACGCCAAAAGCTCCACGACTTGGGCAACCCACTCACCCCAGTCAAGAGCACCAGCCGATCTTCCGCACCGGCCGCCCCATCCCATGCACCTACTCC